TTAATAATTAATTAATTAAATTAATACATATGACATAAGTATTAAAATTAATATTAATTTTTTAAAACTTTTTTATGATTTAATTATTAAAAAATTATTAATAATTTTTTTAATAAGTGCAAATATTAAAAAAATTCATCATCAAAATACGAGAGAAATGCAGTTGAATACTGTAGCTTTTTGTTTTTTGGGCCTGTCGCTTAAATATAATTTTTTCACTGTTATATAAATCACCAAAAAATTAAACAACTGGTCAGCTTGTATTTTTCTACTACTAAAATATTTTTAGGAAGAGAAAGCACCTGGTCTTTCTGGAAGGTTCGGGCACTCTCTGTCTTTGTTTGTTCCCAATAAGAACTGAACCTGCAAGTTACGAGCCATCAGCTTGTATTTTGCAGACTTTCTCTCACCTTCGAAGTTCCATATTTGGTGCAAGTTTCATCCTTTCTCCAGAAAATGAGGTAACCGACCCTTCATTTCAAATTCCTGTATTGGTAATTTCATGAGATCCTCTGCAATTTGATTGCTGCTACCACCATTTCTGAGTTTCTTCTTCTTTGGTTGCAGCCGACACCCAACTTTGAAGTGGGCTCAGAGGTCTGACCAATTGTATATAACTGTTGAACTGCCTGATGCAAAGGATGTCAAGCTTAAGCTTGAGCCCGATGGGAGGTTCATCTTCTCTGCCACCAAAGAGGGGGTACCTTATGAAGTTGATATAGAACTATTTGATAAAGTTAATGTTGAGGTAATAATCCTTTTTGAGACTGCTATAAAATTTCAGACCAATTAAAACTAAGTTAATAAAAAATGGAATGGTTGTGCAGGAAAGCAAGTACAACATTGGTGTAAGAAGTATTGTGTATGTTGTAAAGAAAGCAGAAAAGAAATGGTGGGACAGGTTGTTGAAGCAGGAAGGGAAGCCTCCTGTGTTCCTGAAAGTTGACTGGGATAAATGGGTTGATGAAGAGGATGAGAATGGTAAGCGCCATTGATTGTATATATTATGTGTTTTTGTTTCTTCTTTAAGCTGTTAATTTTCAATGTACTAATGGACTTTTATGTCTGATGATTGTAATTTATAACAGAGAGAAGCGGAATGGATTTCGATAATATGGATTTCTCGGTGAGTTTGAAGTTTTGAAAAGAAACTGAAATATCCTTGTTTGTTGTGTCTAATACATGTGAAACTAGAATTCATCAACAATTTTTCTTGTTGCATTTCATATGGGATCGGGTCTAGGAATCTAGCATTAGAGAAATGCTTGAATTAGTGGAACTTTAAGTTAGCAGAACTGAAGGAATCACTCTTGAAGTAATAATACTAGTCTTCCATTCTTGCTAATACAACACAAATATTAAGCAGAACTTAGACGTGGATGAGGATGATTTTGATATGAATGAATCAAAGAATGAAGAAGGTTAGAGCTTCTCCACAAACCCATTAATTTTCCTTGAAAGACATGTCATACATATTTTCTACTGGTTCATTCTACAAAGAATCAGGAATGGCGGTTTGTTGAGTGCTTTCTCTAATTTCTTGTCACTGTAAGATGGACAGTAAGGTTGGGGATTGGAGAGTGATGTTGAGCACACACTCTTTTCTCGATGCCTATTTTAAGTTGTGGATTGATTGTGGTATTCCATTCCTATTGTACTAACCCCTCATGGGTTGGAATTGCAGAAGCAATCGAATCCAAAGAAGAGGAAGACAAGGAAGCAAAAGAACCAACTGAGCCGGCTGCTGAGGAAGCTAAAGCTTGATTGTTTAAGAAAGCAATGAGGCCTATGATGGAGTGGATGGATGCATTAGTTTGTATGTCACTATGTATGTATCCTGCATGTTTGTTGTGTTGCAATGTAGTTTGATGCCGCACTAAGCATTTTGCTACGGGAAAGTGCCTGTTGTACTCTATTCCCTCCGTCTCACAAATCTTATCTTTTGTATCCTCTGTTTTGTTTTCTTAAATAAAATTTTCATCAATTCCAAGTGCATCTCTTATAAATTCAAGTCCAAAATCTTATTTCCAAGAATAATGCAATTATAACATTTGCCAATCATGGAGGAAGGCCTGGAGATTGAGCAACTATTCAAATTATTGGTACAAAAATAATGCTTTCTCACCTATGCAGCTGTACTTAGTAAGGTTTTAACAAGTTGGTATATTAGGGTTAGCAATCTCCTCTGCGACTTGTAGAGTTCTGTGGAGATTTTTCTTGTGGAAATGAAAATTTTCAAAATATTCTATTTTGTGGCCGTGAGGATGGAGGTAATTTCTTTTCTAAAAAATTTTGAGAGAAATTTTCCCAGCTAAGTGGATCCCATAGAAATTGTAAATTAATAAAAAATTATAATTTTATTTTTATAAATTATAATAAACTTGAATATTTTAATTCTCAAATCCACAAATCTTAGTTACAAATACTTTGACCCTCTCATCTCTCCTTTTTATTGCTTTAGTTCTTCTTGATTGCATCTCTTTATTTAATGAGTTTTTCTTAATTCAAATTTAACTTACTTTATTAATTTTATTTTATTTTTTTGACAAAGTTTATTTGATTTGATTTGATTCATTTTCTAAAAGAAGAAACTTAGTAACTATTTTTTTTAAAATGCTTTTGGACTTTCTTCCTAAGTTAAGAATTGAATGAGTCAATTTATTTTTATATATAACCAAACAAAAAAAATTATTTTTATATACTTTTATAGGTATGAAGAATCTATATGAGACCCTTCATTGCCTACAAGTATAGAGATGGAGGGCATTTTTTGCCTTCTATAAAAAATTCTTGTGAAGATTCTTATATCCACCAATGGTGAAGATGAGAATGGAGATAGGGAAAGGGTCCCGCATCTGCGAGGATCCATTGCCATCCTATGACATACATAAAATAAAAGACACATTTTCTAATCACTTAGACAATGGTTATGGCCACCCAACAAATTGTTGGGATTACTTATACTTTAAAATTTTGTCTTTTAAAATATTAATTTTATTTAGTTTGATTATTAAAAATAGTTAATAATTGTAAGTATTAATTAATAAATAATAAAATTATTGATATTTATTAATTAATAGATTATGAAGTTGTTTGAAATCTAGTTTTGTTTAATGTGAGAGATAATTATTATTATTATTATTATTAATTTAAACACTCTTATTCATTGGATTAAATAAAACTACTAATTGTTTTACTAAATAGTTCCTAAAATTAATTTACATATTGATATTTTTAAATATCATAACTAAACATTTACTAAAAATAAAATTATTGATATTTATTAATTAATAGATT